GCAAATTTTATAATGACGATACCAAAAGCTATTGCAACTAACTGACAAATGGGACCTAATTGAACTAAAAAGTTTCTTCACAGAAAAGAAAACTATTAACAGAGTAAAAACAACCTACAGAATTTAAAAATATATATATTTACAAACTATGATTTTGACAAAAGTCTGATATCCAGAATCCATAATGACCTTAATTAAATTTACAAGAAATAAACAATCTGATTCAAAAGTAGGTGACTGGGCCTGGTGGTTCACGCCTGTAATCCCAGCACTTTGGGATGCTGAAGCAGGTGGATCACCTGAGGTCAGAAGTTCGAAAACAGCCTAGCCACCATGGTAAAACCTTGTCTCTACTAAAAATACAAAATTAGCCAGGCGTGGTAGTGCTTATGCCTCTAAAATTTCAGCTACTTGGGAGGCTGAGGAAGGAGAATGGCTTGAACCCAGGAGGTGAAGTTGAAGGGAGCCAAGATCACACCATTGCATTCTGGCCTGAGCAACAAGAACAAAACTCCGTCTCAAAAAAAAAAAAGAAGAGAAAAGAAAAGTAGGCAAAAAACATGAGCACTTTTTTTGCCTGCTTTTCAAAAGACAAATATGTAGTAGCTAAAAAGCATATTAAAAATGCTCATTACTAGGCTGGGCGCGGTGGCTCACGCCTGTAATCCCAGCCCTTTGGGAAGCTGAGGCGGGCAGATTGCCTGAGTTCAGGAGATCAAGACCAGCCTGGGCAACACGGTGAAACCCTGTCTCTACTAAAACACAGGAAGATCAGCCAGGCGTGGCAGTATTCACCTGTAGTCCCAACTACTCTGGAGGCTGATGAAGGAGAATCGCTTGAACTCAGGAGGCGGAGGTTGCAAAGAGCAGAGATCGTGCTATTGCACTTTAGCCTGGACAACAAAGACTAGGTCTCAAAAAATAAATAAATAAATAGATAGATAGATAAAATAAAAATAAAAACTGCTCAATACTATTAGAGAAATACAAAAAAAAAATCACAATGAGAGACCATCTACACACCAGTCAAAATGGCTATTATACAAGTAAAAAAAGAAACAACAGATGCTGGCTAGATGTACGCCACCAGCGCTTTGGGAGGCCGAGGCAGGTGAACAGCCTGAGGTCAGGAGTTCAAGACCAATCTGGCCAACATGGAGAGACCCCCACCTCTACTAAAAATGCAAAAATTAGGCCAAGTGTGGTGGCTCATGTGTGTAATCCCAGCACTTTCGGAGGCCGAGGCAGGCAGATCACACGGTTAGGCGTTTGAGATCAGTCTAGCCAACGTAGTTAAATTCCATCTCTACTAAAAATACAAAGAAAGGCACAGTGGCTCAAGCCTGTAATCCCAGCACTCTGGGTGGAGGCCGAGCTGGGTGGATCATGAGGTCAAGAGATCGAGACCATCCTGGTCCAAATGGTGAAACCCCGTCTCTACTAAAGATACAAAAAAAAAAAAATTAGCTGGGCATGGTGGCGCATACCTGTAATCCCAGACACTTGGGAGGCTGAGGCAGGAGAATTGCCTGAACCCAGGAGGTGAAGGTTGTGGTGAGCCGAGATCGCACCATTGCACTCTAGCCTGGATAACAAGAGCGAAACTCCATTTAAAAAAAAAAAAAAAAAAAAATACAAAAAAATTATCCGGGTGTGGTGGTGGGCCCCTGTAATCCCAGCTACTCGGGAGCCAGGAGAATCACTTGAACATAGGAGGCAGAGGTTGCAGTGAGCTGAGATGGAGCCATTGCCTTCCAGCTTGGGTGACAGTGTAAGACAGCATCTCAAAAAAAAAAAAAAAAAAAAAAAAAAAAAAAGAAAAGAAAAAGCTAAATAATAAGAACACATGGACAAAAAAAAAACAGGCCAGGCTTGGTGGCTCACGCCTATAATCCAAGCACTTTGGAGGCCAAGGCGGGCAGATCACTGGAGATTGGGAGTTCAATACCAGCCTGATCAACATGGTGAAACCCCATCTTAAAAAAAAAAAAAAAAAAAAAGAAAGAAAGAAAAAAACAAACAATGAGACTTAGTTGAGAGTGAGGGCAGGAGGACAAAGAGAATCAGAAACAAATACTGGTTTGGCACCATGCTTAGTACCTCAGTGACAAAATCTGCACATTAACCTTCATGACACAATTTTATTTATATAACAAACCTACAGATGTACCCATGAACCAAAAATAAAAGTTCAAACAAAAAACTCCATGGGTGGGGAGAGTGCAATATAAGCTGAAGGACTGGTTTGTTCTACAAACAGTGGCTTAGGTGGGGCTGCATTCTGATTTATTTTTGTGTCCATGCAGGCAGATGGGATTATGAACAGTTGGTCCAGAACCCTAGGATGGTGGAGAAATCATATTACTGCTGCAGATTCAGTGTCTGCTGGTGGGGATGTTCCAGGAAACTTATAACCATTTTTTTTTAATGGCTTTGGCAAGAAGCACTGGAATAAAAAATGATGTGAATTTTCTGAGGGTGGTGCCTAGTCCTGGGAAGGCTGTGGGCACGTCAACGTCTTGTGGGTATGTTTGCAAGTGGGTGAAAATCTTGTGAAGGCAGCTGTGGGAAAGTGGGGTTTCTTATCAGAGCTCTGTCCTCTTAGAGGAGACCTGAAATCACAGGACAATGAGCAGTGTGACAGCTTGTGTACAGGAGAGCACAACCTTCCATCCCAGGCACGCAGAGTTCCATTCCAGGGAAGGCCTCTGTGATCTCTTTTTTATGGTACAAAATGTGTCATTTACTGAACACCAAGCAATTCTCCAACACTCACTGTCCAACATTTGAATTCTGACACCACACAGAGTCAGCACAGACCCTGATTCAGAGCACAGTCCCACAACACTGTCTTTACTACAGATGCCAGTCGCAAACTTTATAGGCTGATCTATGCTTCTCAGCCACTGATTAATAACTGGGGACTCCCAGAACATTCCTCAAGTTCAGTAATGTAATAGACTAACTCACAGAACTCAGTGAAACACTGGAGTTACGTTTAACAGTTTATTATAAAAGGTACAACTTAGGCCAGGTGTGGTCGCTCACACCTGTAATCCCAGCACTTTGGAAGGCCGAGGCAGGTGAATCACCTGAGGTCAGGAGTTAGACACCAGCCTGACCAACATGGGGAAACCTGGTCTCTACTAATAATACCAAAAAAAATTAGCTGGCTGTGGTGACATGCACCTGTAGTCCCAGCTACTCAGGAGGCTGAGGCAGGAGAATCGCTTGAACCAGGGAATTGTTGGTTGCAGTGAGTTGACATCGAACCACTTCACTGCACTCCAGGCTGGCAACAGAGTGAGACTCCATCTCAAAAAGCAATAATAGCTGGGCGCGCTGGCTCACGCCTGTAATCCCAACACTTTGGGAGGCCGAGGCGGGTGGATCACGAGGTCAAGAGATCGAGACCATCCTGGTCAACATAGTGAAACCCCGTTTCTACTAAAAATACAAAACCTTAGCTGGGCATGGTGGCACGTGCCTGTGATCTTAGCTACTCAGGAGGCTGAGGCAGGAGAATTGCCTGAACCCAGGAGGCGGAGCTTGCGGTGAGCGGAGATCGCGTCATTGCACTCCAGCCTGGGTAAAAGGGAAACTCTGTCTCAAAAAAAAAATAAACAAACAAATAAATAAATAATAAAAACTCTACTTCAAATGCATTTTTTTTGGTAAATTACTGGATTCAGAGAAACAAAATTCAGGCTTAACCAACCATAAACTGCCAATTAATCTCTGATCACATAAGCAGAAAAAGTATAGCTTAATCGTACAAATCAAGCAACAATGTAACTGTACCTAACCAATTATTTAATTTTGTTTTCTTCATTGTGCACCTTTAAAAGTCTTTCCTGGACCGGGTGCGGTGGCTCACACCTGTAATCCCAGCACTTTGGGAGGCCGAGGCGGGTGGATCCCGAGGTCAAGAGATCGAGACCATCCTGGTCAACATGGTGAAACCCCGTCTCTGCTAAAAATACAAAAAATTAGCTAGGCATAGTGGCGCGTACCTGTAGTCCCAGCTACTCAGGAGGCTGAGGCAGGAGAATTGCCTGAACCCAGGAGGCGGAGGTTGCGGTGAGCCGAGATCGCGCCATTGCCCTCCAGCCTGGGTAACAAGAGCGAAACTCCGTCTCAAAAAAAAAAAAAAAGAAATAAAATAAAATAAAAGTCTTTCCTTCAGCTGCTCCCATAAACCACAAACTACAAACCACAGCTGGGTCGTTCACAATTTTTGAATCACACTTTGATTAAATTTCTTCTAAATTTTTGCGGTGATGCTCATAATTTTTTTCTTTTTTTGAAACGGAGTTTCGCTCTTGTTGCCCAGGCTAGAGTGCAATGGTGCGATCCTGCCTCACCGCAATCTCCACCTTCCGGGTTCAAGCGATTCTCCTGCCTCAGCGTACCGAGTAGCTGGGATTACACGCATGCGCCTCCACGCCCTGATAATTTTGTATTTTTAATAGAGACGGGGTTTCACCATGTTGGTCAGGCTGATCCCGAAGTTCTAACCTCAGGTGATACGCCCGCCGCGGCCTCCCAAAGTGCAACATCACTGGCGTGAACCACTGCGCCCGACACTCTCATAAATTTGTAATAAGCGAAAAGAGGAACTGGGAACCCCCGGACCAAAGCTCTTCGCATTCATGAACCCGCACCCTTAATCAGGATTCTCCCCCGATGACCCTCCCGTGGTCCCTGCACAATCTGGGAGAGACACCGCCCTGTGGATGCCGAGCTGCCCAGAGATGGCTCCAGGCCAGGACACAGGCACTGCCCAGGGAAGAGACAGGACGCCTGGGGCCCGCAGTCAGCGAAGCCGCCATCTTATGGCTGAACGGGGCGGAGGCCGAGCTCGGCAAGCAGAACTCCGCAGAACTCCGGGCGCAGACTGTGGAGCTGACTGCGGGGAGGCCTGAGTCCCGCCACAGCCCCTTCCCCCCGATTTCAACCAGCCCCTCCCTCTCTCGGGATGTCGCACCCAGCGCTCTCACCATTTCTAAGGCTTCCAGAGGGTCCCGGCGTGTTAGCTGCAGATCTCCCAATTTATTCAGGTCGCAAGGCCACAGAGGCTGGGCCTCTAGGAGGAGAGGACACAGCAGGGAAAGTGAGACCTAGAGCTCCGGCTGCAGGGAGACACAAAAGTGCCGCCAAATCCCGGAAGCCATCTTGTCTGCTCCAGCTGCATGCCTGATTGGACGGTTCCCAGCTTGGGGTTTCTGATTGGATAAAGTTTAAGGTCCCGACCCTTCAGGGCCTGAGTGACAGAAGACGTGCTCAGACTCTGGGCTAAATGAAGAGTGACAGCCTAAGCTGCAGCCTTTTCAGCCAGGGATTCTTTTATTAACTGAGCCAAGCCCATCCCAGAGGGTATTTGCATTTAACCTTGTGTATAAGATCATATACATTACAAATGACATTCAGCTACTCACAAATAAAAATAATGTAAGTATTATTTTAGAATTTCAGATTTTATGACCTTTGTGGCTTCTAGTCCATTGAGTAGGGAGCTTGAGAATGTAAGAAAAGAGGCTTTTTGCAAGGGAGTGAAAAGCAAAAAAAAAAAAAGGGAAAAAGCAAAAAATAAAAAAGAGACAATTCTCTGAAATAAAATGTGAGCCATACGTGAATTTTAAATTTTCTAGTAGTCAGGCCGGGCGCGGTGGCTCAGGCCTGTAATCCCAGCACTTTGGGAGGCCGAGGCGGGTCGATCACGAGGTCAAGAGATCGAGACCATCCTGGTCAACACGGTGAAATCCTATCTCTACTAAAAATACAAAAAATTAGCTAAGCATGATGGCGGGTGCCTGTAATCCCAGCTACTCAGGAGGCTGAGGCAGGAGAATTGCCTGAACCCAGGAGGTGGAGGTTGCGGTCAGCCGAGATCGCGCCATTGCACTCCAGCCTGGGTAACAAGAGCGAAAACTCCGTCTTAAAATAAATAAATAAATAAAAATTAATTTTCTAGTAGTCAAACTTTAAAAAGAAAAAAACAGTGGAATTGATTGTTACAATCTAATTAACCTAATATATCCAAAGGACTCAATATGGACGCAAAATGTAATTATTAATGAAACACACACACACGTATATGGAACTAAATCTTTGAAAATAACTCTGTATTTTACCTTTATAGCACATTGCAATTTAGACCAGCCACATTCCAGGCTCCCAGTAGCCACATGTCGCCAATAGCTGCCACATTAAAGTGCAGCTCTGATGTCTGGTGGGTGAAGAGCCTGAGCATTCCTTTTTTGCCAGAGGGGAGGGGACAGCCTCCCTCTACCAACATCTCTTCAGTTCGGAGAAACAGTGACCACAGAACGAACAGGGGACAGAAAGAATAAAATAACCAGAGGTGGACCTGTGGTTACCTGTGGTTATTTTATTAACCACTGCTGACCACCTGTTGCTCACCTTAATTCCAAACATCAGACAGTGAAAAAAGAATCCTGAGGCCACAGCCGGGTGCGGTGGCACATGCCTGTAGTCTCAGCTACTCAGGAGGCTGAGGTGGGAGGATCGCTTGAGCCCAGCAGTTCTGGGCTGTAGTGCACTATGCCGATTGGGTGTCCTCACTAAGTTCAGCATCAGTATGGTGACATACTGTGGGGGTGGGGGGGCACCAGGTTGCTTAAGGAAGGGTGACTCGGCCCAGGTCGGAAACGGAGCAGGTCAAAACTTTTGTGCTGATCAGTAGTCGGATCGTACCTGTGAATAGCCACTGCACTCCAGCCTGGGCAACATAGGGAGAGCCTGTCTCTAAAAAAAAAAAAAAAGAAAGATGGGGCCACATTCTTAACCTGCAATGTTTAGATAAGGAGAAAATAGACTAAAGGCAAACTTATGTTGTTATTTGGCCTTGGTCCTCATGGTCAGCCTGTGGTTATCTCTTCTCTTCTGTGGTGTGGGGGACAGTGTGAGTATAAGCACCAATTACGCACAGACATGTCTACATGTATTTTTTTATATTTAATATTCTCCTACAAGACATGGACCTTAAATCAGGAATAAAGGGGCTGTGAGGTTTTTTTTCGTGCCTCGGCACTGTGCACACGGTGCATTGTGACATATTGCGAAGTTCTGCATTCAGGTTATGTGACTCTTTTCTTTTACCTTGGCCCAGAATATTTTGCACAATAAGACATATTACTGGCCCCAACATATATAAACTGTGAGGCCCTCACCTGGGTTCCTTCTACAGAGGGACTTGTGACATATCTCTGCATCAATCATCTAAGAGATGTGATGCTCCATTTTTGCCTGCACTCTGCCCAGAGGAAAAATTGTGACTTATCACTAAGCCTAGGTACGAGATGATGTGTCTCTCCTGCCTGGGCCTTGACCAGAGAGAGTGTTGTTACTCATTGCTTGGCTCAGCACCCAGGTGATGCGACTTTGCTTCCTGTGTTCTGCTTTCAGGAGTAAGTTGTAATGTATTTGTGGCTGAGAATTCAGGTGATGTGACACTCCTGTCTGGTCTCTGCCCTCAAAAAAGATTGTGAGGCCGGGCGCAGTGGCCCATGGCTGTAATTCCAGCACTTTGGGAGGCGGAGTCGGGTGGATCACGAGGTCAAGAGATGGAGACTATCCTGGTCAACATGGTGAAACCCTGTTTCTACTAAAAATACAAAAATGAGCTGGGCATGGTGGCATGTGCCTGTAATCCCAGCTACTCAGGAGTCTGAGGCAGGAGAATTGCCTGAACCCAGGAGGCAAAGGTTGCAATGAGCCGAGATCACGCCATTGTATTCTAGCCTGGGTAACAAAAGCGCCGTCTCAAAAAAAATAATAATAATAATAATAAAATAAATAAATAAATAAAAATAAATTCATTAGGGAGAAAAAACACAAGTTGAAAAGTAAATTCTTGTCTGGGTGTGGTGGCTCTCTCCTGTAATCTCAGCACTTTGGGAGGCTGAGGCAGGTAAATTACGTGAGGTCAGGAGTTCAAGAGCAGTCTGACCAACATAGTGAAACCCCGTCTGAAAAAAAAAAAAGAAAAGTAAATACTTTTGGATACTAAATGCATGGCCTTGCAGGAGGCAGAGTGGATGCAGCTCTTGACATGAGACATATTTAGATTAAGAAGGAAGCCTTTTTCCCCCCTTTTTCTCCTTCTTTTCTGGATATCTTTCTCAGAGGAGATTCTCTGGACAAAGTACATCTGCATTTTGAGAATACGCCTTTGAAGGTGTCGACACCATCAGTTTATCTGCTACCACCCCACTCACAGGCAGAAGGACCAGGACCTGCAGAAAAAGTCTACCCATTTATGTCCTTTATAGAAAAGGAGTGTAAAGATTAAGATACAATTTCTGTCTTTTTCTTTTTTTTTTTGAGATAGAGTCTCGCTCTGTCACCCAAGGCTAGAATTCGGTGGCGAAATCTCCACTCACTGCAACCTCCGCCTCCCAGGTTCAAGTGATTCACCTGCCTCAGCTTCCTGAGTAGCTGAGATTACAGATGTGTGGCACCACGCCCAGTTAATTTTTATTTTATTTTATTTTATTTCATTATTGAGAAGGAGGCTTGCTCCATCGCTCGGAAGCTGGAGTGCAGTGGAGAAATCAGTTCACTGCAACCTCCGCCTCACAGGTTCCAGAATTCTCCAGTCTTACTCTCCTGAGTAGCTGGGACTACAGGCGCCTGCCACCATGCCTGGCTATTTTTGTATTTTTAGTAAAGATGTGGTTTCACCTTGCTGGTCAGGCTGGTCTTGAATTCCTGACCTCAGGTGATCCACTGTCTTGGCCTTCCAAAGTGCTGGGATTACAGGCGTGAGCCACGGTGTCCAGCCCTGTATTTTTAGTAGAGATGGGGTTTCACCACAGTGGTCAGGCTAGTCTCAAACTCCTTACCTTGTGAGTCAAAGTGCTGGGATTACGGGCATGAGTCAGCGCAACTGGCCAATTTCTCTTTTCTAGTCTTTAGAAGCCCTCCCTTGCCACAGAAACCAGCAATTTTTTCTTCAGTAATGGAAATATGGGCCACACTGTCCTGTCCTGTCCCTACCAAACCCAACCAGGACAGGCCCTGTGACCACCCTTTAGTTCAAAGGTAAAACTTAGCTCTCATAAATGTCTTGAACCCCTCATACTTGATTCTGGTCTCACCTAAAAGTTACATGAGAAACTTTATTTAAAAAAAAACATGATGCACCAGGCACAGTGGCTCATGCCTGTAATCCCAGCACTTTGGGAGGCTGAGGTGGACAGATCACAAGGTCAAGAGATAGAGACCATCTTGGCCAACACGGTGAAACCCCGTCTCTACTAAAACTACAAAAATTTGCTGGGTGTGGTGGCGCACCCTGTAGTCCCAGCTACTTGTGAGACTGAGGCAGGGGAAGCACTTAAAAAACTGGGAGGTGGAGGTTGCAGTGACCTGAGTTCGTGCCACTGACCTCCAACCTGACAACAGAGTGAGATTCCATCTCAAAAAACAAACAAACAAAAAACATGAATGCTTCCACCCAGAACATTAAACAGAACCTGTGGAAAAACCAAAAGTAAAGAGATTGCTGCAGATGGGCCATTGGATTCTAATGAGAACCTGGGTTTGTAACACTTTGATAAGCATTGCCTCTCAAGCTTTAATGTGTTTATAATCACTTGGTAATTTTGGCCCCACTCTATGTAATGTGATTTTGCAGGTTTCGAAAGGGTCTGTGAGTGGGTGTTTTAAACAAGTTTCCTGTCAAAGCTGATGTTGCTCGCTCTATGATTATTATTAACACTAGTTAGAGGTTAGGCACGGTGGCTCAAGCCTATAATCCCAGCACTTTGGAAGGCCAAGGCCGTGGATCACGAGGTCAAGAGATCGAGACCATCCTGGTCAACACGGTGAAACCCTGTCTCTGCTAAAAATACAAAAAATTAGCTGGGCATGGTGGCGCATGCCTGTAATCCCAGCTACTCAGGAGGCTGAGGCAGGAGAATTGCCTGAACCCAGGAGGCGGAGGTTGCGGTGAGCCGAGATCATGCCATTGCACTCCAGCCTGGGTAACAAGAGCAAAACTCCATCTCAAATGAACAAACAAAAAACACTAGTTAGAGAAAGCAGGCACAGCACAGAGTCCCTTACATTCAGCACTCTTGTCACAACACAAATACCTGTAGTACAAATGGAGACAACCACTTAGCATCTGAATTCTTTGCTGACTCCTTAAAATTTACAGGCTACGCTGGGTCCAGTGACTCATGCCTGTAATCCCAGGACTTTGGGAGGCTGAGGCAGGCAGATACCCTGAGGTCAGGAGTTCGAGACCAGCCTGACCCACATGGTGAAACCCAATCTCTACCTAAAATACAAAAATTAGCCAGGCATACACCTGTAATTCCAGCTACTCAGAAGGCTGATGCGGGAGAATTGCTTGAACCCAGGAGGTAGAGGTTGCAGTGAATGGAGATCAGGCCATTGCACTCTAACCTAGGCAACAGAGCAAGACTCCATCTCAAAAAAAAGAAAGACTTACAGGCTAAACAGAAAGCAGCAATGTCTGAATAAATCTGTATTCTGAGAACAACACATACACACGTATTAATGCAGTGCATTCTGAACAGGTACTATGTGCTCAACATTATGTTACAGAGTGCTCACTTTGGCAGCACATACACTAAAATTGAAATGATACAGAGATTAACAATGGCTCCTGTGCAAGGATGACATGCAATTCTGTAATGCATTTCATATGTTTACAGCCAGGACAATCCTAAGCAAAAAGAAAAAAGCTAGAGGCATCATACTACCTGACTTCAAACTATATTACAAGGCTACAGTAACCAAAACAGCATGGTGCTGGTACCAAAATAGCATGGTGCTGTTACTAAAACAGATATATAGACCAATGAAACAGAACAGACGCCTCAGAAATAATGCCACACATAGTCAATCATCTGATCTTTGACAAACGTGACACAAACAAGCAATGGAGAAAGAATTCCCTATTTAATAAATGGTATTGGGAAAACTGGCTAGCCATATGCAGAAAACTAAAACTAGACCCCTGCCTTACACCTTATACAAAAATTAACTCAAGATAAATCAAAGACTTAAACATGCCAGGTACGATGGCTCATGCCTGTAATCCCAGTACTCTGAGGGGCTGAGGCAGGCAGATCACAGTCAGAAGATTGAGACCATCCTGGCCAACATGATAAAACCCCATCTCTACTAAAAATACATACATTAGTTGGGCATGGTGGTACATGCCTGTAATCCCAGCTACTCAGAAGGCTGAGGCAGGAGAATCACCTGAACCTGGGAGGTGGAGGTTGAAGTGAGCTGAAATTGTGCCAGTACACTCAAGCCTGGGTGACAGAGTGAGAATGTCTCAAAAAAGAAAGAAAAAAAAGCCAGGTGTGGTGGCTCACACCTGTAATACAAGCACTTTGGAGGCCAAGTCGAGTGGATCACCTGAGGTCAGAAGTTCAAGAAGAGCCTGACCAATATGGTGAAATCCCATCTTTAAATATATATATATGAAAGAAAGAAAAAATGAAATAAGTAAATGAGAATTTTTAACCAAAGAAATATATTAATTCTATTAGATTCTTTTGAGACTCACCTTCTTTATGCCTTTGTAAATACTTTACCTTTCAAGCTCTACCAATAAAATGCAACTTATGGTTAAAAAACTGATATATGGGCCGGGCACGGTGGCTCACGCCTATAATCCCAGCACTTTGGGAGGCCGAGGCGGGTGGATCACAAGGTCAAGAGATTGAGACCATCTGGCCAATGAGGTGAAACCCCATCTCTACTAAAAATACAAAAAATTAGCTGGGCATGGTGGCGCACGCCTGTAGTCACAGCTACTTGGGAGGCCAAGAAAGGAGAATTGCTTGAACCCAGGAGGTGGAGGTTGCAGTGAGCCGAGATGGTGCCACTGCAGTCTGGGTAAAAAGAGTGAAACTTTGTCTCAAAAAACAACAACAACAACAAAAAAACCTGATAGTTGGCTCAAGCCTGTAATCCCAACACTGGGTGACTGAGTCAGGCAGATCACGAGGTCAAGAGATCGAGACCATCCTGGCCAACATGGTAAAACCTTGTCTCTACTAAAAATACAAAAATTAGCTGGATGTGGTGGCATGCGCCTGAAGTCCCAGCTACTCGGGAGGTTGAGACAAGAGAATTGCTTGAACGCGGGAGGCGGAGGTTGCAGTGAGCCGAGTTTGTGCCACTGCACTCCAGCCTGGCACCTGTTGACAGAGTGAGACTCTGTCTTAAGAAAAAACCCTCCTGCGTTCAAGCAATTCTCCTGCCTTAGCCTGCTGAGTAGCTGAAATTACAGGCCCGCGCCACCATGCCCACTGAATTTTTTGTATTTTTAGTAGAGATTGGATTTCACCATGTTGACCAGGATTGTCTCGATCTCTTGACCTCGTGATTTACCTACCTCTGTCTCCCAAAGTGTTGAGATTACAGGCGTGAGCCACTGCACCCGGCCCCATTTCTTTTCTGTTTTTAAATACTCTCATTATTTCTAGTTGACATAGCATAAAAATTTATTTGCTGTGTCTGTAGAAACTGGAAATGCCGCAGGCCGTGGTGGCTCACATCTGTAATCCCAGCACTTTGGAAGGCTGAGGCAGGCAGATCACCTGAGGTCAAAAGTTCGAGAGCAACCTGACTAACATGGTGAAACCCTGTCTGTTAAAAAAGAAAGAAAGAAAGAAACTGAAAATGCTCTAGTTGACTCTGCTTTACTTCTTGCCTTCCTTTCTTATAGAAAAAAACCAGCACAAGAGAGACAAGAAAAGATACACCCACGGCCAGGCGTGGTGGCTCAGGCCTATAATCCCAGAACTTTGGGAGGCCGAGGTGGGTGGATCACGAGGTCCAGAAATCGAGACCATCCTGGTCAACAAGGTGAAACCCCGTTTCTACTAAAAATACAAAAATTAGCTGGGCATGGTGGCGCATGCCTGTAGTCCCAGCTACACAGGAGGCTGAGACAGAATTGCTTGAGCCCAGGAGGTGGAGGTTGCAGTGATCTAAGATTGTTCCATTGCACTCCAGCCTGGGTAACAAGAGTGAAACTCTGTCTCAAAAAATAGATAAATAAATAAATAAAAATTTTAAAAAAAGGCTACACCCTGATTGCAAACATATTGGTGTCTTTCTAGAGAGAATATATGAGTGAGAATATGAACTTGAAATTCATGGCATCTTTTGTAGGAGTACGGACATCTATATGGCAAATAATAAAGACAAGTAGGCCGGATGAGGTAGCTCATGCCTATAATCCCAGCACTTTGGGAGGCCAAGGCGGGTGGATCACAAGGTCAAGAGATCGAGACCATCCTGGTCAACATGGTGAAACACTGTCTCAACTAAAAATATAAAAATTAGCTGGGCATGATGGTGCAGGCCTGTAGTCCCAGCTACTCAAGAGGCTAAGGCAGGAGAATTGCTTGAACCCAGGAGGCAGAGGTTGCGGTGAGCTGAGGTCGCGCCATTGCACTCCAGCCTGGGTAACAAGAGCGAAACACCGTCCCCCCAAAAAAAAAATTCACCTCTATGCTCAAAGGGAACATAATTTCGTGTCTTTTTTGACTCCTAATTCCAACTATTAACCCAGAACTAGAAGAAATATAACATTTCATTATAGCACAAAACATTTTACGTCTATTTGAGGTTGAAGAGGAACAGGTAAAGATTTGTTACATAGGTATACTGCATGATGTTAAGGTTTTGACACTTGAAAATTCCATTGCCCAAGTAGTACATCGTATCAATGTCTTCTCCCTTATTTTATTTGTAGAATTCTGCTATTGTTTCTATCTTTGTTTCCATGTTCACCCAATGTTTAGCTCCCACTTACAAGTGAGAACAGGTAGTACATGACGTACGCAATGCAATACTATCCAGTCACAAGAAAGAAAATAGTGTTCTTTGCAGCAACATGGACATTAATTTTCTTTCTTTCTTTCTTTCTTTCTTTTTTTGAGACAGGGTCTTACTCTATTGCCCAGGCTGAAGTGCAGTGGTGTGATCTCAGCTCACTGCAACCTCTGCTGCATGGGTTCAAGCAATTCTGCCTCAACCTCCCAAGTAGCTGGGATTACAGGTGCCTGCCACCATGTCATTTTTCTATTTTTAGTAGAGACGGGGCCAGGCTGGTCTTGAACTTCTAACCTCATGATCCACCTTCCTCGGTCTCCCAAAGTGCTGGGATTACAGGTGTGAGCCACCGCGCCTGGCCTAATTTTCTTATTATAAGCAAGTTAACAAAGAAAATGAATCTGAAGGCCAGGTGCGGTGGCTCCCACTGGTAATCCCAGCACTTTGGGAGGCTGAAGTAGGCAGATCACAAGATCAAGAGATCCTGGCCAACATGGTGAAACCCTGACTCTACTAAAAATGCAAAACAAACTGGGTGTGGTGTCACATACCTGTAGTCCCAGCTACTCAGGAGGCTGAAGCAAGAGAATTGCTTGAACCAGGAATGTGGAGATTGCAGTGAGCCAAGATTGCACCACTGCACTTCAGCCTGAGGACAGAAGGGAGACTCCAGCTCAAAAAAAAAAAAAAAAAAGGAAAATGAATCTAAAATTTATGGGTACCTGGTTACATTCTATGTCTTTGCTATGGTGAATAGTGCTACCATAATTATGTGAGTTCAAGTGTTTTGGTTTTTTTTAACTGTATAAGCATTTTTATTCTTTTTCTTTTGAGACGGATTTTCGCTGTTACCCAGACTGGAGTGCAATGGCAGGATCTCGGCTCACCACAAACTTCGCCTCCTGCCTCCAGCTAAGTTTTTGTATTTTTAGTAGAGACGGGGTTTCAGCATTTTGACGAGGATGGTCTCCATCTCTTGACCTCGTGATCCACCTGCCTTGGCCTCCCAAAGTGCTGGGATTACAGGCTTGAGCCACCGCGCTGGGCGTTTGCAAATATTTTATTTTATACTATAGGTTGTCTGTTTGTCAGTAGTTCCCTTTGCTATGAAGCTATTAGGTGCCAATTTCCAAGAGTTTTGGTTGCATTTCATAATTGCAATTCATGAGTTGGTATTAGTCATAAATTATTTACGGAGGCCTGTGTCTAGAAGAGTACTTTCTTTTTCTCTTTCTTTTTTTTTTTGAGACGGAGTTTGGCTCTTGTTACCCAGGCTGGAGTGCAATGACATAATTTTGGCTCACTGCACCTCCGCCTTCTGTGTTCAAGTAATTCTCCTGCCTCAGCCTCCGGGGTAGCTGGGACTACAGGCACGTGCCACCATGCCCTGCTAAGTTTTTTTGTATTTAGTAGAGACGGGGTTTCACCATGTTGGCCAAAATGGTCTCAGTAGAGACGTGTTTCACCTTGTTGAACAGGATGGTCTTGATCTCTTGACCTCGTGATCCACCCGCCTCGGCCTCCCAAAGTGTTGAAATTATAGGCGTGAGCCACCGCGCCTGGCCTTTTTATTTATTTATTTTTTTTGAGACGGAGTTTTGCTCTGGCGTGATCTCGGCTCACCGCAACCTCCGCCTTCTGGGTTCAAACGATTCTCCTGTCTCAGCCTCCCAAGTAGCTGGGATTACAGGCATGTGCCACCATGCCCTGCTAAGTTTTTTTGTATTTAGTAGAGACGGGGTTTCACCATGTTGGCCAAAATGGTCTCGATCTCTTGACCTCGTGATCCACCCGCCTAGCGTCCCAAAGTACTGGGATTACAGGCGTGAGCCACAGCGCCCGGCTTTT